AATTAAATAAACATCAAGTTGCCTTTCATGGCCTTAGCAGATGGAAAAAACCTGCTTGAGGAAAGTGAACTGAGTATTGTAAAAAGCAGTACGAAACCTCCACGTACGAATGCTATATAGAACAATTGGTTACATTATAAGTAAACTCGAACATGGTTTCTTTTATAACTTTATTATTGATCTCATCCGCATGAAAACTTAGATGGGCACTCACCCCCATGTAGCCTTATATCATAATTCCACATCCAGTTCCCAATGATCAAGGATGAGCCCTGCAAATTATTTCATGATCGACTTATATATACCCTGACCAGAATAGTCTCAATAACACCATTAACCGTGGTTATTACATCCTATAGTATTTTGTTAAAATTCAAAACAACCCCTACTGGGGCAGGTCGACATGGAAACACTGAATAGAAGATTCCAATTGCGCTCCATTCACAAGCTAGCCTTAACACAAAGTAAGAATGATACAGATAATTTAGCAACCAAGGTTCTTCTCATATCTAAGGCAAATCACTCCTTTCTGAAATCTAAACTAAAACGTATGAGAACTTCTTTCCAAATGGTTGAAGTAACCAAACTCGAAAAAATGCATATCAGTACATCATTATCAAAATGAGGTTTTTTTCAATATTAGTCCTAAGATCTTTGATGTTTTAAAATTAGTCCCTCAAGTCATAAAAATGGCTATTACACCTCTCAAGTCTTACATCTAACTCCTGTTGCTCTTGATTGGAGGCTCAAACACAACTTCTAAGAATTGGGGGGCTTATAGAAATTTCCATGATTTGAGGGACTAATTCTAAAACAACTTATAACACTTGAAGGACCAAATAGAAATTTCAGTACTTGAGGAACTAATCTCATAATATTACAGATTTAAGAAATTAACATCGAGGGGGGACATACACTATCTAAATTTAGCCCTTCCATATATGTTAAAACAATAATATATGCTTTTGGTGTTTGGTGCTTCAGTTAGTTGCAAAATATCCATTCAATTTTAGACATCACAATAAATAAGTAATATGTTGTTGTTTCCATTGCAGTAAATTAACTTATAGGACGTATTATCCTACAATCAGGTTTAATGCTTGTGACAAAGCTCTGTATACGAAGTTCAGTATTTGTTCTCTCTATGCACTAAACATCCTTAAAATTATTTACATAGTATATATATTGTCCTGGACCTAAATCTTAGACAAATAATAACAAAACTGACAGTCATATTACTGTAACAAAAAACTTACTCGCAGACAAAGAGTTATGATATATCCTTGTATTCAGCTAATTTTAATTTAACCGGACAAAATACACAACAAAAATAATAAAACCTACATTACAAAATGAAGCCCAGCGTCAACCCAGTCAGAAGCAAAACAGTAATTTTCAGCTCTCATATAACACAGTAACCCACTTTAAGCATTAATATCAAGCAATTAACTCATTTAATAGCTGAATAATAGGAAAAATATCTCATCGTCTCACTTTTCAATTATCACATTATCATATTTCTCGAAAATAAATTAAAATCAAAAATTCCAAATTGAAACAATAATAGACACGAGAAAGAATGTTTAACTTTCCAAAAATTTTCAACCATTGTAGACATGCTTCCACTAAAAAAACCGAGACAACTGTCCCAACTTCACAAAAACAGAATAAAAATCCAATTTTTCCTGAGATTTCCTAATCTCAACCATCAGCTCATCTCACAAAAGAAATTTTCAAAGGGGCTAATGATCTTACTATGAAAATGGCGGTGATCGACTCATTAACCCATCTCCATTCTCTCAGCAAATGCCCAACAACGATGCACAAAGAGAGCACGAAGACGAAAATGGAGATCGAGACCACATGGATCCGCTCACTATCGTTGGCTAAAGCATGAAGGATCCGATCGATCGCCATTGGCGCTCATCTAATCGCAGATCTAGGGTTTCAAAAAGTAATTTTTTTTTTTTTTTGGGGGGGGGGGGGGGGGTATCTGAATTTTGGCGGGTAAGGAGTCCGCGAGCTCTTTATAGCGTCCGATCGACACGTGCGACAGTGTTTTTGGATTGGATCGTGCGAAGGAGACACGTGCGAAGATAGTTAAGGGTAGATATGAAAATCTAAAATCTTAGATACTACCCCCATCAATATCTGAACTGAAATTAGTTACAAAAGCAGTTTAGATGTAGATTTATACTTAAGATTTTAATCGTAATTAACTTTTAAGTTAGTTTATGATGTGCGTGCTGATTAACTCTGATGTCAAATTTTAGTAGATAATTTTAGAACCAATAACTATTTTAATTTATAGATATTCCTAAAATCAGTGTTTAAAACCCACCCCCAAAAAAAAAAATCATTTTCATATGTTATAACTATTTTAAATTAACCAGTACTAGTATTTAGACCCGTGCAAAGCACGGATTTTAAATTATATTATCAAATATTAATTATGTTAACAAAATTAAGTATTATGCTATAAATAATTGTAATATTCTGCTATAAATTCAGTTTAGTGTAAAAGTGAATTGAAAAATTAATTAATATTTGGTTATTATTCGTTTATTATTGATCAAGTTTGAAGCGATACTTCATTTAATACTAAAATATTTTTTTTAGTATTTGGTTTATAAATAAATAAAATTTAACCAAAGATATGTTTGATTAATTTGTTGTCATTTATTAATTTGATAAATTTTTTATAGAAATTTAACCAAATATATGTTTGATAGTACATTAACAGTTTTATTCAGTAGTCGAAGAGAGAGATAGAGAGAGGAAAAAAAGCACTGGAACCTTTTCATTTCCACATTGGTAGTCGAAAATAACAACAAACGCTTTCACTTAATTCCATCCCACCGCGTTCTTAAGTTTAGATGCGATAGGAAAAAAACAAAAGATTAGATTAATGAAGAGCACGCGCTTAGGGCCCGTTTGGATAATGGAAGTATTGGAAGTAAGAAGTAGATTACGGAAGTAACTTCCAAAACTATGAAATAAGAAGTAGCGGAAATAACATTTTTTTTGTTTGTTTCATATATTTTTAGAAGTAATGGAAGTAGAACTTTTTCCTCTTCATTTACTTTTTTTGTTTGGATAATATTTGGAAATATTATTAGGAAGTAATTAATACATGTTGTTTCAATTTTATTCTTGTTTGGATTGTCATTGAAATAGAAATAGAAATGAAAGTATTATAACACATCACATGCCTCGAGCATTGCTATGCTTAAAAGTTAGAACGCTCACATCACGAGTTGAATAAAAAGAAAACGATGGAGGAATGGATAAAGCACAGATACATACACAAACTAAACAAATGGAAAAGTTGAAGAAAAAGAAAACGATGGAGGAATGCATAAAGCACAGACACATACACAAACTAAACAAATGGAAAAGGAAACAACGTGTATGCTTTCTGGTTTTTTAGGTCATTTATATAGACCTAATATTTGTGACTAATTTTCCAAACTGCAGTTGTTAGCGTGGGGGCAACATTATTCCTATTTCAGCAACTAGGTGGTATAAATGATGTGGTATATTACACTACATCAGTATTCAGGAGTGTTGGAATTGCTTCTGATGTTGCACAAACATGACAACTATCCAATCAGGAAGCAACTTTACAAAAGTTTTGTTACTTAAGTAACAAATATAAACGAATAATTGACGAACCTCATTTTCACTGACGATGTTCGTTGAACCGACGAACTTTGTTTTAACTGACAAGATTTATCAAGCAGACGAAGTTAGTTTAACTGACGAGGCTTGAAGTTCGTGTGGATAACGGTCCTTTCCAAAGATGATAATAATTACATGTATAATGTTTTACTATGTATGAATCCTTGATTGAAGTTGTAGCTCAAAGGAACACAAACATGACAGCACATAACAAGATAAAGTTGTAGATGCACATGGATTTTCGCAAGTCATTAAATAAGAATAAGAATAGCAGTTTAAGTCAAATTACAAAAAAGGACAGATTTTGAACACACGAGACAAGTGCTTGCAACAAGATCAGGAAGATGTCAGTCCATACAGAACAGTAATCTTTGACATTATTTTGATCATTTGGACCCCACCCTAAAAATCACTTCCGCCGTATTTCACAGCATTGGAGCCGGAAAAATATTAAGGAAATAGAGATGCCAGCTAGATGACACGTCAGCTTTTAAGGAAGTAACGGAAGTAGTTTTTACGGAGAAACAAACAACATTTTTTATATGGAAGTAGCAAAAATAGCTTCTACTTCCTCTACTTCTGCTACTTCACAGTTACTTCAGTGCAAACAAATAGGCCCTTACACGTGGGCATACTTGTAAAATAATTAGTAATATCTTTTTTATCAAAATCAAAATCAAAATTTTATAGCTAATATTAATAAATGTGATATTTCAGTAGTTATTATTTTAATAAATCTTAAATACTTTTTTAGATGGCACTTGGTTCTTGCTAGGAAGTTCAAACAAAAAAACTAAACCTGATGCTCGCGATGCCCATTAATCTTCAAGTTCAATATTTTTAAATAAGAAATATAATGATAGCTACACTACTTCACTTATATTACTTCTCCATTAAAAAAGAGAAATTTTATTGTCCTACAGTTACAAAGAGACATATGCATTATTGAAAGATGCATTTTATGCTATCAAAGATTTAAAAAAAAAGACAAATCTTTTATCTTTTGTGTTGTCAACAATATTAGTTTGACTTGAAGGGTTCATGCACCTTCCAGTAAATATAATATTAATATGTTTAATTATATAAAAATAAATTTTTTGTAGATTCTTTTTTTAAATTTGTTTAAAATTATTTTAAAATATTTTTATGAACTATTATTTTATATGTTATATTATTATTTATCAATGTATGTTTTTTATTTGTCGTAAAACAGTCATATTATATAATTTATATATGTATATGTGTATATAGTCATCAAATTTATATACACTTAATTTCATACAACTAACACACAAATTTAAAAATAATTGTAAAAGAATAAAACAAATGAGGAAAGAATCTTGAATTGAGTAACTTATGCTTTGACTTTAATAATAAAAAACTTATGCATTACAATTCCTAATAAAAGATTTATGCGTTGAATTAATGCTAATGGATGAGGGATAAGAGATCATTAATTAAGTGAATTGAGGAATTATCAAGCATAAGAATTATAAATATTAAGAGGGGCAAAATAAGAAGTCAAAAGTTTTGACACCCATATTCTCTTTTATAAATAGTATAGATATAGATTAATTATGCGCCATCACTTGATTAATAAAAAATGAACCTGAAGTTTTTACTAATTGGATGGATTGAGGACCATCCCGCATTTATTCAAAAACTAGTTTTTATGCACGTGCATTGCACGTGGTTAATATCAAAATAATTTATTTCTTATTTTATTACTATCAATAAGTCAGATTTATTTTAATTATTAGATTTGTTATAATTTTTATTTAAAAATTATAAAAAATTAATGTAATGGATTTTTGTGCTACACTGGGATCAATATACTTAACTAGGATATCATAATTGATTTTTGCAGAAAAAATATCAGTTGACATAATAATATCTTCAAGCAGAATAGTAAAACGAAATAAATTAAATTGATACTACATGTCATATTCTAAACTTGACTAATCCTAAGCTATAGTATGGAGCCAAGGATGAATAACAATATTATTATGAACTATAGTTCTAGCAATAAAAAAACAACACTTCTTATTGCATTAAAAATAGAATTACACTGTACTTTTCAACATTATAAGCTCATGTTTTATAATAGACAATCTCAATAGGCAAACCCGCTTTAAGACATTTTAATTGATCCAACTAATCAATAAGGCATGTTTTCTCGTCGGCGGACAAATTTCCGACAAGATCTTGTCACGTGCATGACACGTGATGTCTCAAAACTCATTTTTAGCAGCGGTGACGGCAACAATCTCGTCATATTCAGCCAAAAGTAGGATAAAATAACGGTTATGACGCCGCTTGAGATCGTTAACCCTATCGAATCGGCTGAATATGACGAGATTGTTGTCGTCGCCGCTGTTAAAAACGAGTTTTGAGACATCATGTGCCATGCACGTGACGAGATCTCGCCGGAAATTTGCCCACCGACGAGAAACCATGCCTTATTGGTTAGTTGAATTAATTAAAATATCTTAAAGCAGGTTTACCTATTTAAAATACCTTGTTGGAGATTAGGGTGGAATTAAAATACCAATATGGGTATTTAGCCCTTAAAATAATAAAAAAACAAAACTAAAGATTAATGGTAACTACAATATAATTTTATGTGATAAAAGCAATCACATAAGCATGCAAAATTGCTAAAAATTTTGTATGAAAATTCATTCTAAAAATTCCTAATTTTACTCAAAAATTAAGTTATAGTACAAAATGTTCAAAAAATATTATCATTTATTCTTTTTATTTCATTTTTAATTGAGTCGAGATCAATCTTTCTTCACCATTATCTTTTGATTATGCAATTCTAGAGTAGCGTCTTCATCATCTATATCAATTGTGATATCAGGTTGGAGTTGAATTTCTTGAAATTAATCTCTTCAAATAATAAAGCCCAACACCAAAATCAACCTAATTGTCTTCTGCTACCCCCTCAAAAACCATAAGCCTAATCCATAAAATGAGTTTGTACATAATGAAGAACAATAGACAATGTCAAGAGACAAAAAATAAAAAAGAAGGAATTGAATAAGAATCGCTAGGTTTGTACATGACAAAGAGCAAAAGATAAAAATTTTGCATGAAAATTCATTCTAAAAATTCCTAATTTTACTCAAAAATTAAGTTATAGTATAAAATGTTCAAAAAATATTATCATTTATTCTTTTTATTTTATTTTTAATTGAGTCGAGATCAATCTTTCTCCACCTTTATCTTTTGATTAGGCAATTCTAGAGTAGCGT